TGGGCCCTCATTACCAGGGCAGAGCTGCCAACAGACCACAGTGGCCTGGCCCTGTGCCACCAATGGCCTTGCCCACTGTGCCCCCACCTGCTCTGGCCCCGAGAAAGGCCACAGTCCTGTGGGGCAGCAGCCACTCCTTTTAACGAGAGCATTCCCTGTGGGAAGAGGCCTGGCCCCTTAACAAGGAAATGTGTGGGTGATGGAAGCTACGCTGATACTGGCAGTGGTACAAATCAAGGGATAAAGAAGAAAGAACCTCTGAGGCTTCTCTAGGATGCATCATCTTCCTACCAAGGGGAAGAAAATAATATCAGAGAAGAGAGAATGAACTCAAGACACAGACAGGAAGCCTAAGAGTCAGGGACATCCTTTCAGCTCGGCACTATTGAGAAAGAGAGATGAGAAGACCCCTCTCTTGGAAAGGGAGATCAATGTCATGAACATCTCCGTGAGGCAGATGCTCTATCTTGACCTTCTCTGAATCCTCCCCTTCATCCCTCACTGCTCCATCTACAGAGTTGCCGAGAGCTCAGTTCCTGTTTGTTGAGCATACTGAGGTTGGACAGGCTGGAACAGGCTCTACTTTTACTTTCTGCAGTGGAGGGAAGGGAGGGCTCGCCTGGGACCTTGGAGACCGGGAGCAGGGTGACTCAGCTCCCTTGAGAAGCGATACTCTGCAGCCCTGGGATGAGCGAAGCCAGGAGTCTGGGAAGCAGGTGTCCCCAGTTATAGAAGCCTTGGGCGTTCCTTCAGAAACCAACAGGCAAGACCAGTGGTCCTCAGTCCTGCCCGCGGTACTTGCAGGCTCACGCGCTTCCTGCTTAAGATGTGTGTGTTACCTAGCCACTTTTTATTCATTAATCTTCTCAGTACAGTATTGGAGTATAAGTACTTGTCTTGTTTTTCATATATGTCTAGAAGTGTTGGTGAAGGGGCAGGGAAGGGAAAATGCCACCCAGCCCTATTCCCCGAAATTTGTTGCTTAAGAAAAGTCAAAATACAGATGCTACCTTCTAACTTGCTATGTGACCTTGGGAAAGTCCTTTTACCTCTCTGGGCCTCATTTCCTCATGCAAATTGAAAGGGTTAGATTAAATCATCTCTCAATGATCTGCAACAATCATAAATTTCAATTCCTTTGTCTGGATTAACTGTTTAAAGAAGACCATGGCATCAGATGGAAGGAAATGTGATGGCAATCCCAACTACACGGACTGAGACTCATAGGACCACCCTTCAAAATCATAACCAGTGCTTAGTTGATGTATATAAGCGCCAGCACTGTGCTGGGGGCTTGGTATTAATTTGCCCATTTAATCCTCCCCAAAATAAATTATAAGATAATTATTATTATAATCAGGTGTAGCAGTGGTTCTCAAAGTGTGGTCTCCAGACCAGCAGCATCAACATCACTCAGGAACATGTTAGAAATGCAGTTTCTCAGGTCCCCCCCAGACCAACTGAATCAGAAACCGTGGGTGGGGCCCAGCCACCTGTGTTTAGCAAGTCCTTCAGGTGGTTTTGAGAACTGCTGAGGTATAGGAGCATATATATCTTAACACCTGTCACCAGAATTCCTCTTGTAGAAAAAATTGTCTTTACTTGAAAAAATACACTGAGAAGTTGTTGGGGTAAAAGGTGGGACCCCAAGTGCCTTAATGTTGACTGGCAAGACATCAGAGGGAGAAAGAGAAGACTTTGAACTTCCCAGGACAATCATGGCAAGGAGGGGTGAGAAGAGAGGGAGGCAGGAGCCAGGAGGAGAGGCACCAGGAAGGTGGTGAGAGGCTGTGACCTGTGTAACGCAGTCCCACCCCATGGTCCCTAAGAGATCTTCAGCAAAGTCCACCAATTCAAGTGCTTGGCATGAGCAGTGTTCTACATGATGAAGGAAGGACTGAGTTTCTCATCAGAGTGGTGCGATCAAGGAGAACAGACTGTTCAAAGCCACAGTAGACCGGGGGTCTAGCCAGTATGCCAGACCTGGGGGATGTTTCACAGGTGAAGAAGTAGGGCCGGTGAAAGGCAGCCTCAGGGCAGGAGGATGCACAGTCAGTGTCCAAACTACATCTGTCTGGATCCAAAGGCTCTCACTGGACCCCAGCCCCTTGGAGGCTAAAGCGAACTATTGAGCAAACACATTTGCTAGAAAAAGGAGAGGAGGAGAAGGGAAAGTGATGGAGAGAAAGCTAAGCAAGGGGAAGAAAGCAGGAAGGAATACTGCTGAGAGGGGCTAAGTAGGTCCAGGATGAAGGATCTACTTAAATAAGGGCACATAGGAAGCTTGTCTGGGCCTGGCCCAAGACGGTCTCCTTCCCTCCATTCTTTGAAAAAACAGAATGACCCCAGAGAAGAGACTTATAGAAACTGAATTTAGGTGGTTCTACCAACCAAAAAGCCAGTTTGCCAACCTACCCGTGTACATAGCATGTTCCATCAGCTTTTTATTGTCTCATCATTACATACAAACAGAAGGATCCCAGACATTTGAGAGAAGTTTCCAACATTAAAAATAGAGACAAAACAAAACAAGCAAACAAACAAAACAATGAAGAAGAAATTGGGAAAAACAAAACAATGCAGAATCTGAAACACTCTATTAAGATAGATATTTTTTAATAACCTCAGAGATAAATATAGCAGTTACGTCCTTGTAACAAGAACTGGATGTTATAAAAGAGGAACAGAGAACAAAAAATAACTCTTTGGAATTAAAATTATGGTAACTGAAATTAAAAATTCAGTTCAGTTGTTTGAAATTAAAGGAGAGAAAATAGCCAGAACTAAGGAAGAGTCAAAAGTACAATATAGGGTTCAGAGAGTACTAAGGTCTAGGTCAGTGCTGCCCTGAGCCCCCTGTTCTCCCAGCTGCCTTGCCAAAAGGCCCCCTACCTAATAAAGCAGCTCTCAACCCTGGCTGCACAGGGGAATTCTCAGAGAGCTTTTAAAAACCCCAATACCAGGCCATATCCCAGACCAACTAAGTCAGAACTTCTGAGAGTCAGACCAGGTATCCATATTTTTTAAAGTTCTCCAGTTCATTCCAATGTGCAGCCAAGGTTGAGAACCTCAGGCCAAATGTAAACAGTATTATAATTTCAAAGCACAAGCAAACGAAGTCAATAATTAGAGGTGGGGCTACACAGGATCTGGTTAGCCCCATCTTAGAGGGCATTAGGATGGGTTTGGAAGGCACTTGTACCACAAAGAATGCTGTAAAGAAGAAGAGTGTGGCTTGTGTAAAACAGAATTCACTGGAGCCCATGTGCTCAAGAGAGCATCCGTGTACTGCTTGCTGACTGTGGCTTCCCCCGCTGAGTTTGCTCTAAGTCAGAATTAGATAATAAATCATATAACTGCCTATCCACTTTGGCTGGCCTGGTTTACCCTGGGCATTGCTGCTTGGAAGGAAACCTCAGAACTGAAAACCTGGGCAGGGAAAAGGTGGATGCCCACCCTCAGAGCAATCCAGGCATCCAGCTAGAATAGAGTCAACAATATGACTCAGTTTTCAAGCGCCCATCATATGCTCGGCAAAGCATTAGGTACTACAGCACAGTCAGTGTCAGGTTCTCTATTTTCCTGATGAGGAAACTGATACTCAGGAAGGGACTGCCACCTGCTAAAGCTCGCACAGCCAGGAAGTGGTGGGGCTGGGATTTGAACCCAGGTCCATCTGACTCATGTTTGGAGCCCATGTTCATAACACTAATGCCATGGAGCCCTTTAGCTGGCCTCCTCCCACCACTGAGGTAGGAAGGAAAAGAGGCAGTGAGTGGGCATCCTTCCTGTCCCACCCCAAGGCCTCCCTCCAATGAGGGTCAATCCTATCCCAGGCACCTAACACACTGCCTGGCCCAGGGAAGCACTCAGTAAGGGTTTGTTGAATGAACTGAAGGAGCCTCAGATAGCCATCCTCCTCAGGGGCTGAGCCTCAGCAAAACCAGCCACAGTGTTCCAAGAAGACTGAAGCTGAGGTGGTGCCGGGAGGCAGGAGCGAGGGGGCTGGGAGAAACCAAAGCCCAGGCCCTCCTTTACAGGGTGTTAGAAAGGGAGGATTCTACAGTCGAATCAGGCTGAACTATACGGCAGCCTTGAGAGGTGGGGGTCTCAGGCCCGCCTTGGTCAGCATCTTTCACCAATCTGTTCTCCACCTTGGGTGCTGTTACAACTCGCTCAGTATCACTGAAGTTCCTTAGTGGTGCTCTCGGCATCTTAAAAAGCACACATGGACATCTGGGGACAACTCGCCTTTCTTTCTGTCTCAGAAAGTTTTGCCTTCATCCTTCTCCACTTCCCACTGAAATAGGTGGAGCTTGGTCTTGGCTTGGTCTGTTGGGGGAGGACATTCTGGACACAAATGAGAACCTGTGGGCCAAGAGGCTGGGAGCTCCCACTTACGTACAGAAATGCTTTGGTACCCAAAGGCGCTGTGTGCCTCATCAGATGCCAAGGGTACACAGGAACATGATGAGTCTCAAGGACAAGAATCTCTGAATCGTGGGTGGAAGTCACAATGGCAGGCTCGCTATTCCATCTGCTTTTGATGGTGTGTGGGTTTTAAGGGGGTTTGCTGAACCGAAACGGCTGTGTGAAAGGGCTGCAGTCAAGAGGGAGGTTGACGCAAACACACTCCTGAAGCTTCCCTGGGTGTGAGATCCATGTTGCTGTTCTTACGAGGACCACAGGCATGAGGCTGAAAGCAGCCTAAAACGCTTCTAGTTGTACTGGTCTCAGCTTTATCCATGCTCCTCTGGGACCCCATGACCATGGACCCTAAGAGGGGTAGTAGGAAAGGTCCGGTACACCTGTCACCACATTGGAAACTTGAAGAAGGGTCTTCATCAGGAAAGCTGAGCAAAAAGCCTCACAATAGGCCTCTACACATCCCAAACAGGGGCATAGGGACCCTGTCATCCCCAGGGTCATACATGGTCAAACGTCCCCCATGCATTTGCCCTCTTCACCCGGCAGAGACACAAATCAGCAATACCAGAACGTGCTAGTCAGGCTTCAAGAGCAAATGAGCTTTATTGTTCTGCCAACAGAAGTCCTCTATTGCATTTCAGAACCCACTGAAACGGCACCCAGAAGGAAAACCTCAACCAGGAGGCAGCCTGAGAACAGAGATCCTGGCACCCATTGAAATGATCAAGAGTTGAGGCCTCCAGGAGTGGCCAGCCTTACGACAGGCTTTGAGAAACATTAAGGCATGTATTTGCGATGAGCCCTCTCAGGGCCAGGCCCTGGGCTCTGCACGAAGAGAGGGGACTGGGCTTTAGGGTTAGGGCTGAATAGAGGCCAAGGCCAAGCCCTGGAGACAGTGGCCTTGGCTTTCTGGGCCAGCCATTCTCAGAACCGGCCCCCCGGGCAGGGCACACAAATGGGGTGGGGGCTGCAGGTTGTGCGGGCTGTGCCAGGACCGCAGGAGGCCGCAGGAAGACAGGGGAGGCCTGACTTGGAGGGTGAGTGGTCAGGGGCACACGGGTTACAGGGAAGCCTAGGACAAAGAAAAAGGTCAGATTACTATGATTTTCCAGTTGCTATTTTCAATAACTCAGAGCACCTTAAAAATCACCTAGTCTTGCCCCCTAGTTTTACCAATGGGAAAATGGAGGCCCAGAGAGAAAAAAGACTTGCCAGGGTCACGTGATGAATTTGTAACAAGAGCAGAACTAAAATCGAGGGCTCCTGACTCCAAATGCTGGGTTCTTCCCAGGCACCTGCTGTCTCGCCAGAGCTTTGTAGACTGCATTCAGAAGACCAGATTGCGTGCAGTGGTACTCACTTGCAGTCCTCGCTCTCCAGCAGGCCCCGGTACGTGTTGATCTCACTCTCCAGCCGGGCCCGGACGTCCAGCAGCACCTGGTACTCCTGGTTCTGACGCTCAAGGTCACTCCTGATCTCCGCCAGCTGGGACTCCACGTTGGTGATCAGGCCCTGCATCTGGGCCAGCTGGGAGCTGTAGCGGGCCTCTGTCTCTGCCAGGGTGGATTCCAAAGCATCTCTCTGAGGGCAAGGATTGTATAGGGAGGAAAAAGGGTAAAGGTTAGAGAAGGAGCAAGGAAGGTGCACTTAATCCATTTGGGTCTCAGTGGGGCCTCAGAATCCAAGAACGGAAGCTCAGAGAATCACTTTGAGCCAGGGTGAACCACAATCAGACATCTCATCTGAGATGAGCCAATTGGCCCCTGTAGCCAACTGGAACTAGAGAGTGTCTCCCCCATTAATGATATCTCTGAGTAACTGATAATTACTCAGAATGTGTCTGCTCACACAAATACAGGAGCTGCTGCTGGGACATGTCAGTTGCTACAGGTCTTCCGTCTTTCACCACTGGGAGATTTCTGAATGGGGGCTGGGCCCTCCTTTCCTCTTCTCTACACAGAAAACCCTTGATGCTCAAGAACTGGAACCCCTGGAGCCTGCCTGTATGGTCAGAGCATGGAGGCCAGGGGCTCCTGTGCTGCTAGGCTTAGTCCCCCAGCAGCCCCGCTCAAGCCTCGGGCTCACCATGCTCTGCTGGGCCTGCAGCTCGATCTCCAGGGCGTTGACCGTGCGTCTCAGCTCGATGACCTCTGCCTGGCAGGACTGCAGCTGCTCGGAGCTGGACACCACCTGCTGGTTCAGCTCCTCTGTCTGAAACACACACACAGGCTCTGGTCAAGAACATTGGGACTCAGCTTCAGAGGTCTACAGAGGCCACTTAGAATCACAAGCCAAGAAGGACCTTCCAGATTACCCCGTCGAAACCATTCATTTCACTCTTGAGGACATTGTTGCTTAGAGGACGACAACCTGCCCAAGGTGCATAGTGAGGCTGAAACAGAGCTGGGCTCAAACTCAGGTTTCTTGATTCAGAGCCCCAGGGTCACTCTGTGTGACCCACCCTGTGTCTCTGTTGCACTGACTGTTTCCAGGTACCTACCTGAGCGTTGAACCAATCTTCAGCATCCCGGCGGTTATTCTCCACCAGGGTCTCGTACTGGCACCTCATCTCATCCAGAACGCGGTTCAGGTCAACGGGCGGAGCAGCGTCCACCTCAACATTGAGCCGGTCACCAAGCTGGCAGCGCAGTGAGTTCACTTCCTGTGGCACAGACCAGGGTCAGCACTAACTTTCCCAGCTGGCTGCCTCTTTCACCCTCCTCCCCACAAGCTCACCTGCTCCCCCCTGCTCACCTCCTCGTGGTTCTTCTTGAGGCAGAGCAGCTCCTCCTTCAGGGACTCCACCTGGGCCTCCAGATCGGCCTTGCACAGGGTCAGATCATCCAGAATCCTACGCAGGCCGTTCATGTCTGACTCCACCAGCTGCCTCATGGACACCTCCGTCTCATACCTGGCAGGCACATAACAGAGCACCTGAAGCTGCGCTTCCTTTATACCAAGTCAGATCCCACCCCAGACTGGCCTGGTGCTGTGTGTCCTGCCTTAATGCCTCAGTGACTTAGTGCAACCAAAACCCTTGGTTTCGCCAAGGCATTGCCAACGTCCAGTTCTACCAGCCCCCAACAAAGGGGCGAGCAGGACAACTCACTTGGTCCTGAAATCATCGGCAGCCAGCTTGGCGTTGTCGATCTGCACCACCAGCCTGGCGTTCTCTGCCTTGGTGCACAGGGTCTGGGGAAATAAGTGACTTCAGTGAAAGCAAGGACATTCTGCTGCCTAAGCTTCCAAAGCTGATGTGGGCTGCATCTGGAGGGAGGGCATCACCCAGCCCTGGGCTCTTGGCAGCTGAGGCTCCACGAAGGCTTAGGGCATGCTGCAGGGGTCAGACTAGGAAACCTCTAAACTCCCTTCCTTCCAGTGCAGTGCGTCTGCTACCTGTGACCTGGGGTAGAGAGAGAGACACGTGGAAATGCTGCAGGAAAGACCTGGCATGGTGGCTTCCTCCTGTCCGCCTATCTCCCATGCTACTGGCGAGTCATTACCAACAGCGTACTCTGTGCTTCTCTGGACATACATGGTCCCTCTCAGGAGCCAGCTGGGGCTTTCAGGGGCTGTGGGCTGGGCAAGAAGGAAACTTCTGACAGGACTTTCCTTCCCTGAGTTAGTTATAGGAAACTGATCTGCACCAGACACATCAAATCCAATCCTCTCACTTTAAAAAAAATGAAACAATTAAAACTCAGAGAGGTGGGCTGTGGTCCCAGAGACCACACAACCAGTCAGTTCATAGGGCCTGTGTTCAAGCTCTGGTTCCACTAACTGCCAGCTGGATCACCTTGAATAAGTCACTTAACCAGCCTGAGCCTCAGTGTTCTCATCTGTAAATGGGCTGATGATACCTCCCTCAGAAGATTATCAGGAGGAGTAAATGAGGCCACAGATGTAACCATGCTTTGTGACCTCTAAAGTGCCCCACGGGAGCAGGGCTGCCACCACAGATGTTCTGGCTTTCAGTCCAGTGCTGGTGGGCAGCCAAAGCCACTCTGAGCCTCTTACCTTCTTCTGGAGCTCCTCAATGGTCCGGAAGTAGGACTGGTAGTCGGGGCATAGGAAGGGCACCTGCTGCTCACACCACTCGCGGATGCGGCTCTCCAGCTCCGCGTTCTCCCGCTCCAGCTGGCACACTTTCTCCAGGTAGCTGGCCAGGCGGTCGTTCAGGGACTGCATGGTCTCCTTCTCATTGCCGGTGAGGATGCCCTCCCCAAACCAGCCCCCGCCCGTGCTGTAGCTGGTGGCAAAGCCTCCGGAGGGCAGGCAGAGAGCAGGGAGGCAGCTGGCGGCCCTGCAGCTGCTCCTGCCCAGTCCAGCTGAGCATGCAGAGAAGCTGTGGGGCCCCCGGGAGAGGCTTGGGAGCTTGCAAGAGCTGCTGGAGTACATGGTGGACACGCGAGCAGAGCCCCCCCAAGTCCCTCCCGGGCCCTTGAGAGACGCCGAAGAGAAGCTGGCCTTGAGGCATTTGGAAGCCATGACCTCAGCAGCCTGGACCCAAGTGTTGGATCACCAAAGCCAGATACCCCCGCTGCAGAGAAGCAGCTCCTCATCCGGGTTTATATTTCTGCCCCAGTGGGCGTTGGCCTTTTCAAAGTGTTTTCTCCTTGTTAAAGTTAGTACCACTTTCTATCAGAACCCCTCATTAACCTGTTATTTAGCTCCCTGTGAACATTTCCCAGCCTCATAAAAAAGGAACCCCTTTGGACTAGTGGCTACGTCGAGACTCATCTCCACCGCCCCACATCAGCGAGAAGACCAAGTCTCCGTCTATTCTTCAAAGGGCCCTGTCATCAGAGCCCAGACCTCAGACTCCTCCTTAAGCGGTGTGGGAGTCCAGCCCCTGTCTTGACTCTCTCCAGCATTGTCTCCTTTTATGGGCCCAAGGGAGTAGAGGAGGCCTCTGGGTTGGCTCCTGGGCCATGGAAGACCAAGCCTGGTTGTTGCAAGAAGGCAGGAGCCTTGCACCCAAAGAGACATAGAAGGCTCTAGAATGGCCCAGGAAATATGACCATGGGGATCAACTATCCGGTCTTACCAGGATTGGTCTAGTTTTAGTGATAAAGCCCCGTATCCCAGGGAACTCCTCAGTCCCAGGCAAAACAAAACACTTGGTCACCCCAGATACAGCCCCGAGCCTTGATGGACACAACCCCACTGCCTCCCTCCCCAGGAAATCTATTCTGTTTGTGTAGCCTCAGCTCCAGCCAAAACAACTGGAGGTCGGCTAACTGCGCACCTGCCCCTGGTGACACCTCCCATGTGTAGGGAGGTATGTCTTCCCAGGCCCTGGTTGAAAAATGGGGAAGCTTTTCCTTCTGGTTGCCTAGGGACAGGGGGAGTGGCCTTGACTCACAGGCCTCCTCAGGAGGCACATAGAGCCTAGCCTTCAGAGCTTCTCTCTGCTATAGAGGTTGTGTAGACTGACACCCAGAAAGCTTGACAAGGGTGGGTTATTTTTCTTTTCCCCCCAAAGCCCCAGTAGATAGTTGTATGTCATAGCTGCACATTCTTCTAGTTGCTGTATGTGGGACACGGCCTCAGCATGGCCAGAGAAACGGTGCGTCGGTGCGCGCCCAGGATCCGAACCCGGGCCGCCAGCAGCAGAGCGCACGCACTTAACCGCTAAGCCACAGGGCCGGCCCAAGGGTGGGTTATTTTTCCAGCAAATCCTATCTGCCAAGCAAGTGAGACCTGGAAGAGGGGTTGGGAGCTGAGTGAGCAGGCAGGTGGAGCTGGGGAGGGGCCTCGTCATGTGGAGCCCTATGGGACTTACCTTCTGGTCTGCCCTGCGGTCCTGCGTCCTGTTTATTCTTCTAGGGACATGCATTATCTTCCCATCAGGAGAACGACAGTGAGCTGAGCACCATGTTAATCCTCCTGTTGCTCTGTGAGCCCGAGCTCATTATCCCCATCTTGAAGTTGAGGAAACCAAGACTCAGGGACTATAGGAGCTTGCTGAAGTACCACCAGCTAGTGACTGGCAGAGCCAAGATGCTACCCCAAGTCTGGCCTGGCCCAGACTGGGTGGCCCACCACCCACCTCCACCTCTGCCCCAGAATCCCATCCTGGGCTGCTGGACAGGGTCGGGCTCTACAGAGAACGGAAAGGACAGAATTGGGTGGATTCCAACAGCCACTGGTGTCCCAGGAGAAGCAGCACAGCATCACGGTGACGTGTGAACTCTGTGGGTTCACATTCCAGCCCGGCCGCACACCAACGGTGTGACTTAACTTCTCTCCATCTTTTCCTCCCCTGTAAACTGGGAAGAGGATAATGTACCTACTTCCCAGGGCTGCTGTGAGGATTACATGAGTTTGGAACATCTAGAACAGCACCTGCTCATGGTAAGTGCTCAGTAATGGCAGCTGCTGAGTGCCAGTCACCACGCAGGTGGAGTCTTGTACTTAGATTGGCGATGCTAAGCAGCTGTCACTAGGGAGTGTGGATGGGCTCTGAGCACATAGGCCACCAAACCTCTGGCCAGGTGCATGTGTTTGGGGACCTCAGATATAGAGCTCCCATGAGTCATTGTGCCCTTCTCACACCCAAGGACCTGGTGTGACCGGCACCCGCCCAGCACAATCTAGGGCCCCATTGGCTGCTTCAGCCTCCCCTCCCTGGAAATCCACGCCCCAGTGCGAAGACATAGCTGAGCTAAGAGCCTGGCTGCACTTCTGTGGGTGTTTGTGTTTCCCACCCATGTGAGTACTGGGCTCCATCCAAGCCCTGCTAAGCCGCAGCCTCCTCGAGACGTGCTCTGAGCTCAACAAGGGCCTCCCAGGAGCCACAGGGCCCAGAGGAGCCACAGCAGTGGAGGCCTGGGAAACCTCCTGCTGTTTATACCCCTGGGGGTCACATGGGTTCCCAAGCGGGGCTCCACACTTGTGCTGCCCAGACAGGGTTTCTCTCCCCAACCCAGCCCTGTTGATAAGGAGGCTAATGGTACCAGCCATCATTCATTGAGCGCTTAGTACCTGCCAGGCTCAGCACAGCAGCTGAGCTCTCTCCATGTGTTCTCTCATTCACTCCTCACAACAACCTCATGAAATCGGCATCACTAATATCCCCATCTAATAGATGAGTAAACTGAGGCTTGGAATGTTTCAGGAGTCTGCCTGAGGTCACACAGCTAGTGAGTGGCAGAGCCAGCAGAACTAACATCTGTACAGCCGTTCAAGGTACACTCTCTCCTGTAAGCCCCTCACACGCCCTGCAACACAGCCGTGGAAAGAAGGGTGCTAACTCCCAGGGTGGCGAATGCTTAACCCAACATCCACGTGGTCGTCCCAGGGAGACTAAAGCCCAGGCTTTCCCGCTGCAGACCTGAGGCCCTTCCCACTGCCACTGGGGGCCCAGCCCCAGCCTAGCCTTCTCCCCAGAGCCTGCCCCCTGCTCCAGCCTTGTGGTGCCGTCTTAGCTCTGAACACCCATGGCAGTGACTGGTGGGGGATCCATTGGCTCTCCCTTCACTGGAATTGTCCTCAAAGGGTGCTGTGTTTCAGCCCTATCTTCCCGGGGAGACTCTAAGTCCTTGGGGGCAAGGACTGACCTCGTGCTTCTGTTGAAACCTCTTAGCATCCAGCACAGTGCTGGGCTTCAGAATGAATGAATGCTTTACCCGTGGTGAATTGTGCTAAGTAGGGAAGCAAAGAAAGGATTTTGAGAGGAAGGGAGCATAGAAGGGAGGGTCAGAGGAAGGAAGGAGAGAAAAGGTGAGTAGGGAGCAGGGAGGGGATGATGCTTCCAAAGTCCATCTTACCGTCCCTGCTCTCAGAGATGAGCAAGCCAAGGCTCAGCGCTGGTGGGAGACTAGGCATCTCTGCAGGTGAGCGGTGCCCGCCCAGACTGACCAGCCCCTGAGGCAGAGGACCAAGTGTTCTCTGGGCCAGAAGCCATTCTGCCTAGAGGGGGATAGGACCCATAAGCCAACCAGTGCTAAACATGTGGCTAAGAGTTCTGATAAGTTTGTTTTTGGATAATTTTATAAAACATAGAAGTAATATTTTTAAAGCTATGAAGTAGCGTGTAAATTGTTCTGGCTATTTCTATTCTTTCTTGGCATTCTTTTTTTTTTTTTTTTTTTTGCTGAGGAAGATTCGCCCTGAACTAACATCTGTTGCCAATCTTCCTCTTTTTTTTTTTTTATGTGAGCTGCCACCACAGCATGGCCACGGACAGATGAGTGATGTGGTTCCACACCTGGGAACCGAACCCAGGCTGCCAAAGTGGAGCGTGACAAACTTGAACGACTAAGCCATCAGGGCTGGCCCTCCATTCTTTCTTAGCATTCCTTGTAATAGAACAAAATAGTTACTTAGAACCCCTTATCAGCAAGAACTAACATGGTTTAGCAAGTATCCCAATACATCATAATACATAGTAATAATAATAATCCTACAAGACCTTTGCACTCTATTCAAAGGGGGTCTATGCTGTCCCCAGAACATGCCATGGACACACTCGACTGTTCTCAAATACCCTTTTCCCTCCTTCCTCCTCCTCCTGCCCATCCTTCAAGGTTTCCATCAATTCAAATCTCCCCTAAAGCCTCCTCTGGTTGCCCCAGCTCTCTGTAGTCTCTCTCCCCCCTGAGAACCTGAAAGCCTACCCCACACCCCGCCTGTATCCTTGGTGCCCTGTCGTAGTGCGAGGGGTTGTGTACACCGCTTGACCGTCAGCTCCTTGGGGACTGTGCCTGTCTTCCACTATTTGGCCCAGCTGCTGCCCCATCCCCGCTTCTCCCTGGATGAGCCCCTCCATTGGCACTGGGTTTCCCATGCATATGGTGGTCAGTATACATCTGTTGATTGATCAATTGATCTGAGTATGTGTGAATGAGGAAGACAGCCAGACATTATATCTATCTGGAAAGTGCAAACAAGATCAGACCACCTTGAAATAAAGTATTACATTCACTCTGGGGAAATTTGATAAAATGTAATATTTTATATCATCTCTCTCTTGATTTCAAGGAAAGAGCAATGACATAGGAGTCAAAAGATCTGAGAAGCTGTCCTAAGTCTGCCGCTTGCTGTGCCAATGCCCAGTCCACAACAGTGTTGTATTGTGTGCACATTGGTTAGTGATTGAAATTGGAACTCAGTTAAGGGTGTGTGTGAGGCTGAGAGTGGGAGGGGTTCCCTAACCGATGCAGATAATCCAAACAGTTTAATAAAAAGCTAGACAAAGCTACATCAATAAAGCGCCTGCAGCCATGCTGGGCTGTCTGGGTGCGTGAGATGAGGCTGTGAAGGCACTCTGTAAACTGTAGAGTGCTCATAAAAAGGGAACACACTGTACGGTGTGAGGAGTTGATGGCATGATTGTTCGTCAGGTTTCAACGCTGTGTGGTCTGTTTGCCTGCTCTGACTCAGTAGCAAGGCAGCTCGAGCTGTGGCCAGAGCGGAAGGCTCAGTCCACTCCCCGATCCCTGGCTGTTCCATGCACCAGCGAATGGGGATGTGATGCGCACTGTGCACACCTGGCCGCCCACATCTCATCTCCTGAGCCTCTGGCCAGAGCCAGGAATTGCAGACCCCAGGCCCAGAGCAGGAGTGCGGAGCACAGAGAGGGGCAGGGCAGGGCAGGAGTGAGACCATGTGGACTGGCCCTCCTGCCCGGCCTCTGGCCCCAAAGCCAGTAGATCCTCTGAGGTCGAGGCCCTCAGCTTCACTGTCCAGCTCCAAGAGTGCTACTGGCGGACAGCACAGGCCCCACAGCACCCTGCCATGTAAGGAAGCAAAGAGTTTGGGCCCACCTGCTGGGGTCCCCCGTTCCCCACTGTCAGCCCAGGCACTCTTCACTTAACACCAATGCGCGCAGCTACCACTTCCTGGGTGCTGTACACACATTGCCCCTTGGAGCCTCCCGGCAGCCCCATTTCACAGAGGAACCAGCTGAGACCAGAGAGGTCATGTGACATGACCGGGTGCCCACCACCAAGCACAGAGCCAGGCTCAGCCCGGGATGCCCCCTTTCTGCCTGTGCACGTCCTCCCCTAAGGTCTGAGATGTGTTTGCTGCACCTCTGGCTTGTCCAGCAAGTGGTTAAAGATTCATGTTGAGAGACAGATGTGTGAGAAACTGTGTGCTGGGAAGAGCACCAGAGTTAGGTTGAGAATAGCTGAGCAATGGCCTGTCTCTGCCACTAACCGCTGTGTAGCCTGGGGCAATTCGCTGCCCTCTCTGGGCCTGTGTTCTCAACTGAAGCATGAGGCAGAGGGACAAAGGAGATGTGGGGCCCTTAGACTTCTCACAGGGGCTTCTCTGATCAGAGGGATGTCCAAGGCCTGGCACAGTTAGGCTCAACGGTAGAATCCAGGGCACTGTGAACTCTGCCCCACAGCAAGGTCCCCGTCCCCTGCTCTGTGTCTGACCCCCACATACACACTTCACTGTCCCCTGCCGCCCTTCACTTCAGCTCTGATTCCAGTGTTGGAGACGTGGATTCACCTGGCCCTCCTGCCTTCATCGCTCTGCTCACCCCGACTCCCCTCCCTGGGGTGGTGGGCCCAGGCTGGCCCCCTGGGGTTTGCCTCTCCCTGGTTGGTCCTGGAACCCCCTCTCCTGAGGGTGGGCCAGCAGGGTGACGGGAGCTGGACAAGGGAAGAGAAGCTGAAGGGAAGAGAGAGAGAACCACCGGACCCGGGCAGGGCTACCGAGGACTGGCCTGGGAGAACTTGTCTCTTCTGGGGCTGCCCCCAGGTGGGTACCCACAGGCGGGCCCAGCCTATGGGTTACGGCCAGCACCCATCCGGGTTGGGTCAGTGACTTCTTATGAACCAAGGCCTGGGGTATCCCCGTTATTAAATATTTTGAATCACCCTGTCATTCTTCCCACTCAGAGCAAGAAAAGACGGAACTGAAACCAAAACCCACAATCTTACTGCAACCCATGATCAAGCACCCCCACCAACTAGCCGCGTGAGAACAGACAGAGTCAAGTTTGCTATGCCAAGAGAACACACTTTATTGGGGATATTTCCAGGGAAACCTAGTTTTACGTGGCGTAAAAGCAGTTAAGTCCAGAAACACAACATAAGAAGGATTTTGGTAGAAAAACCTGCTGAGCGGGGAGCGCCTTTAGGGAAGGTGGGGGTGGTTGAGAGCCAGGAGCCACAGGGGTGTCCTCCTTCCTGTGGGCCAGGGCCTGCCCCGGTGGGTCGGGCGGGCTGGTTACAGTGGGCAGGGCTGCAGGTGTTCCCTGGAAGAAATGATTTTCCCGTCTCTGATCTCCTCGGTGATGGTGCGGATCTGGGCGCTGACCTGGGAAGCCTGGGCACAGGGCACCGTGGAGACATAAGGAACTCTGATGGCAGGCTTGCACTCCGTGGCACAGGGATGGGCAGGCAGCCTGAGGAAAAGAAATCATGTCAGGTGCGTTTGGCATCGAGGCACTGGACTGACATTCACGTTAAACAGATTTAGGGGATCGAGTGAGACAGGTGGGTGACAACAAGTGGCCTCAGACAGTGCCTCTGAAATCCCCGAGGGTAGGAGGATAGGGCTGCAGGGATGAAGATTAGAATGTCCCAGCCAAACACAATGGCTGGAAGAGTGCTGGGTGCTGGGCTGGCTTGTCCCCTGTGAATGAGCCAAGCCCGGGGCTACAAGGAATGTCTCGAGAGGCTATGGATCGACCCCCGTCATCTGTGCAATAACCCCTGCAGGGACTGACTCCCCGAGTGCAGCGCTGAGGTTCGGGTCCAGTTGATCCTTCCCCCAGCTTTCCAGGCCCGCAGGCCACTCACTTGCAATCCTCGCTCTCCAGCAGGCGGCGGTAGGTGGCGATCTCCGACTCCAGCCGTGCCTTGACGTCCAGGAGGACCTGGTACTCGTGGTTCTGCCGCTCCAGGTCGCAGCGGATCTCTGCCAGCTGGGCCTCCACGTTGGTGATCAGGCCCTGCATCTGGGCCAGCTGGGAGCTGTAGCGGGCCTCAGTCTCCGCCAGGGTGGATTCCAGGGAATTCCGCTGTGATAGGAAAGAAGAAGAGCTGACACCACCACCCAGAGACCACAGCTCTGGGAATCTGCGTGTTGCTTTGATTGCACCCCATGAAAACCTGCGTGCTGAGACGAGCGGATCAGGGGGCCTGCCACGAGCTGCAGCTGGCCACTCAGGCAGAGGCCACTCACCGTGCTCTGCTGCGCCTGCAGCTCGATCTCCAGGGCGTTGACTGTGCGTCTCAGCTCGATGATCTCCACCTGGCAGGACTGCAGTTGCTCCGAGCTGGACACCACCTGCTGGTTCAGCTCCTCGGTCTGAAACGTATGAAAGGGCCCAGAGTGTGGTCAGACGAAGCGAAGCTCCTGTAAATGGTAACCCCCCCTCAGGAGCTTGTGGTCCTGGGCTGCCCCAGCCCCACCTGGGTGTTGAACCAGGTCTCCACGTCTCTACGGTTATTCTCCACCAGGGTCTCATATTGGCATCTCATATCATCCAGAATCTTGTTGAGATCCACTGAGGGGGCGGCATCCACTTCCACGTTCAGTCGATCCCCAAGCTGGCCACGGAGCACGTTGACTTCCTGCAGAGAGGAGATGAGATGGCATAAGGTTGTGAAAAAGATACTGGATTGGGGATTCAACGGACCTGGTTCAAACCCCCCTCCCTCAGTTGCCAGCTGTGTGAAATTAAACAGGATGCTTAACCTCTCTAAGCCTCAGCCTCCTCATGGACCTACACCTACCTCCTTCAGGGATTTGGGAGAGTAGAGTAAGACAATGCAAACACCTGGCAAATAGAATTGTTGTTTATCAGGCACTAGAGTCCAAATGGAGATTTAGTGTCATGGGCAGGAGTGTGGGATCTTGGAACCTTAGGCAAGTGACTTAACCTTTCTGTGCCTCAGTTTTCTCATCTGTAAAGTGGAGTTTGTAATAGTATATACCTCCTGGGATTACTGTGAGGATGAAATGAAATGAGAATGAAATGCAAAGAGCTTTGTATAGTTCCTGGCACACAGTAAGCAGTCAATAGATGCCAGCTGGGGTCACTGTGGAGGTGGCCATCATGGCTGTCATGCCTAAGGGTCAGTAGTGGCTCCTCACTGGATGAGAAACATTGGGAGGCCGCCTGGCACCAGCCTCACCTCCTCGTGGTTCTTCTTGAGGCAGAGCAGCTCCTCCTTCAGGGACTCCACCTGCATCTCCAGGTCGGCCTTGCACAGGGTCAGCTCGTCCAGGATCCTGCGCAGGCCATTGGTGTCGGCCTCCACCAGCTGCCGCAAGCCCAGCTCCGTCTCGTACCTGCACACACAGAACCCTGCCAAGTCTGCAGCAAAGGAGCCAGGCCCAGGCAGGGCCCCCTGCCCTGCTGTCCAGCTGCAATTGCTGATTTGGAGTCAGCAGCGTAGTGGTCCTTTCCCTTGACCCAGAAGCGATCCAGGGCCAATGCCACATTTCCCACTTACAGCTCCATCTGGCCTCACTCCCATCTCACCGGCTCCCAAAGGCAGGGGACAGAGGCAAGGAAGCAGTACAAAAACCTTCCCTGATCGGGCCCACTCACTTGGTCCGGAAGTCATCCGCAGCCAGCTTGGCATTGTCAATTTGCAGGACCAGCCTGGCGTTCTCAGCCTTGGTCAGCAGGATCTGGGGAACAAGGAGTGTCCCATGAGCTAGGGAAGGCCTAGCAGTGAGGAGGTGGGTGGGAGGGGATAGCCCAGCTCACAGAAGCCATGCTTCTAAGTACCATCAGCACCCTCAGCATTTCCAGCCCTGAGCCCTGAGCCCTGAGCCCTGAGTCCAGGTATGGAGGGAGCATTGACCCCAGGAGAGGCGTCACGAGGATGCCAGAGGCCATCAGTCTGGCATCTGTAGCCCCCTGAGTGACACAATGGGACACAGCAAGGTAAGTGGAGAGAACCAGGCCGACCTGGTTCAGGCTCTGCCTCCAACACTCGCAGGCTGTGTGATCTTGGGCAAGTTGCTGAATCTCCCTAAAATTCAACTTCCACATCTGTTAAATGGGCCAGTAATACCCATCTCTCCAAGATGAGGAATAAATAAGCCAACAGATCATCCAGCACAGTGCCTGTGTCCAGTAGGGGCTTGGTACATGTTACTGCCCTTCCTACAGCTGAGACAGCGAGAAGAGGGGAGGAATGACTGGCAACATGTTACAAGCGAGTGAGAGATCAGCAGAGAGGTCTGGGTCCCCCAGGAAACCAAGACCCTAGAGAGAAAAGCTTGCCCTAACAGGAGAGTTCCCTAAGAGCTACAGTCCCATCTATAATCTCTTGGGATAAGGCAGACCCCTCCCAGAGGTTGGGCTGCCCCGCTGGAGAGGGGCCAGGTCATCCACTACCTTCTGCTGGAGCTCCTCGATGGTCCTGAAGTAGGACTGGTAGTCTGGGCAGATATATGGGATCTGAGACTCGTACCACTCCCGGATGCGGCTCTCCAGCTCCGCATTCTCCTGTTCCAGCTGGCGCACCTTCTCCAGGTAGTTGGCCAGGCGGTCGTTCAGGAACTGCATGGTCTCCTTCTCGTTGCCATTGAAGGTGCCCTCGCAGAACCAACTGCCACTCCCAACAAAGCTAGAGGGGTAGCACCCGGTGGACAGGCAGGAGGCGGGCAAGCAGGTCCCGAAGCCAGAGAGGCCCAGCCTGATGGAGGAGGCCGACCTCGCAGCACCGGCAAGACTGGGGATCCTGCAGGAGCCCACAGAGCGGACAGAGGACACCCGAGTGATGCCACCTGCTGTGCCACAGAGGCCCCTGACAGACCCAGAGGAGAAGATCGGGGAGCAGATCTGGGTGGCCATGATGCTAGCAGAGGAAACTCAAAGCTTAGCAAGGAGCTCTGGTTCTGGATTCTCAAGGCCTCTCTGGGGCATTTATATACACTTTCCATGGGGTGTTGGCATGTCACTCTTGGGAAAGCTTATTCCTATTCTGGAAAGCTAATCTCATTGGAACGTGATTTTTGCTACCCATCCGGAACTCCTTACTTGTAAAAACAAAATTGTGGAATTTGGTTTGCTAAGTCAGGACTCTCAGCTGTTGTCATTTCCTAGCAGAAAATGAATTTTATTGCCTCTTCAAAGTCTTTGCACTAGATCCCATAAATCGGGAGTGGCCTCACAAGTGACATTTGGTTCCTGCTGTTGCTGCATGCCTTCCCCTGAGGAAGCCAGTCTGTCCATTTGTCACCCCCAGCCACTACCCACACCCCTCAGAGCTGCTCACCTGTGCCTAGACCACTGGGATGGTGAAAGGGAGCAAAGTGAACTAAAATTCATGGGGCACCTACTTATGTGCCAGGCTGATAGTTAGTTCGTTTATACCTCACAAAAATCCTGGGAGGTGGACAATATTGTCTCCATTTTACCGATGTGGAAACTGAGGCTCAGAATGGTTAAAAAAAAAAAAGCTTTCTCAAAGTGAACAGGCCATGAGGAACAGAGCTTGGATCTGTAACAGGGCCCTCAGACCCCAAATCCCATGCCCTTATCCCACTGCAAGCCCTACTACCAAGGTCAAGTGTAGGCACCCAGAATTTAGGGACTGGAGACCTAGATTCAAATCCTGGCCCTGCTGATACTTGGCCTGTGATGCTGAGCACAACACTCCCTCTCTGGCATCCTCAGTGTCCTCACTGGGACAGTAGAGATCACCATCCTGCCCTGCCTGCTTCACACAGATACGAGGAGGATCAAAAAGAACAGAAGCAAAAGTGTTTTGAAAACCATCGGGTGCTGTAGAGGTGTTGGTTAGGCTAGGAGGACGGTCTTTGATGACGGTTCATGGCTGTGCTGGGCAAAGGATCACGGGTGTGAGCCCTCAAATGGGGCTGCTTTGAGGCACAGTTCCCTTTGTGGCCCCCAAGTCTCTGAACCTAGGAAGGTAGAATCAGGACCCTGGACAGCCCACTCCCACCACTGCGGGTCCCTGAACGGGTCCAGGTGGTCAGTGCAGACTCGTTGGACAGGGAGGACGAGAACAAATGAAACGCTCCCAGATAGTTAAGCACGCCAAGAGCAGAACCTGAGAATCAAAGACCAAAGGTAAGTTCAGTGCTTCCGCCTCACACCACGGGGTTTCCCAAGGCTTGAGCTACCTGCTCACTCTTCTCCCACACGCACTTGGTTTGCAAAACTGGCGTTTATGGAAGGATTTATGCGCTTCTGAAGTTGTAATTTGCCAACCTCTTAAAACGCTTTATGAGCTTCTCTCTGAAATTACTCAAGAGGGTTGGCTGTGGTGCACACGCCTCGCTCAGTGCAGTGGACACCTCGACAGGAAGCCCAAAACAGCCTGATGGGCTTCCCGGGGCGCCCGCTGTGCAGCCCCTCCTGGGAGCGGGAGTGGGGGCATCCGGCCTCCAGAGCCCCAGCTGCCTCAGCAACGGTCCTCACAGCTGCCCATCTTCCCTGCTCCCCGGGATGGGGCTGTCTCAGGGCTTCTCAACCTTTGCATTGCTGACATCACAGGCTATATAATTGTTTATTGTGGGGGCTCCCTGTGCGTTGTAAAATGTTAGCAGCATCTCTGGACTCTACCACCAGATGCCAGTAGCAACCGTCTCCCCAAGTTGTGACAACCAAAAATGTCGCCAGACATAGCCAAATGTCCCCTGGGGAGCAAAACTGCCCCTATCTTAGAAACACTGGACTATCAGGATGGAACTGGGGCACTGACCAGACCTCCTCTAAGCCCCGCTTTGTTCTCTAGGACAACAGTGCCGATTCTGGCTGTCTCTATGGGCCCCACTCAGGTGAGTCCTTAACCCACCCAAGCCTCAGCTTACCTCATTTGTAACTCAGTGTGCTCTTCCTGAGGGCAGCCCTAATCCACTCTTCTGGCACCCTGGCACCACTCTTCTCTGTTTGGGATCTCTGGCTGCTGGACATCTGAAGTTAATGTTCTCATTTTCTTTTTTTAATCCCTCCACCGTGCAATCCATATCTGAAGCTGATTCTAGGGTTTTCTCGGGGTAACTGAATAAGCGGGTGTCTGCTGCTCTGACTGTTCCCATCACTCTTAGCCAGTGTGTCAGGCACATACCTCTCTTGCAGCAGGTGACGGGCTGGACAAAGGAGACGGTCTTTCAGTCACCCTCGGTCCCCTGCCCTTCTCCATGGTGTAGACTGCAGGGCCACCTCTCAGAGGGAAGTGTGGAGGGGCCCTCATGGGAGGAATTCCTCTGCATTCTTCCACCCAGAAGCCTGGACCATCACAGGACAGAGTGAGGCCCAAGAAGAATGAGTGCTCTGCTTGTGTCAGAGAAGAGAACCCGGGACTCACAGAGCCACCCGTCTCCCAGGGCAACTTCATGTGACCACCCACCCCAACCCATGGTGGCCCAGCGCTGGAGAAAATCCACCTGTTCAGTGTAGAGTAAAACAGGGGTACCCATTCATCAGGTTTTATTTCAAAATAAGGGTCCTATTCCAAGACCATTCTTTCTAACATTAATCAAAAATACACTGGGCTAAGGGTCAGGGGGCCTGAACTCCAGGCCGAGCTCTGCCCCAAACTCCCTGTATGAGCCCCATCCACCCTCGGCCCCAGTGCCCCAGTATGAACAAGGGCCTGGACAAGGTGAGCTTGAGGCCTTTCATCTCAGATGTTATAGGATTTGAGGCCCAAGCATTTCCCATGGAGCTGGCCAGGAGTCGCCTGGATGTGTCTGTGACTCCCTCACCATCCCCCACAGCTGCTGTCCCTTCTCTGTCACTGGCTCACAGAATAAAGAAGAGTTACGGAGATTCCAGCCCATGACACAACTGGGGTTTTTTTCCATCGCAAACCCCACAGAGCTCAGTCTCCCTTTGCTTCCACACCCACACACCACACGAGAACAGCAGCGCGGGCCTCCTCCTGGCCTTCCTTCACAGGCAGAGGCAGCGTCAACCCACCCCCCAAGGCTGTTCCCCGGAAGGCCCCATTCAGAGGTGTGGTGTCACCAGGACATTGAGCCAGCATCCTAGCACGTCTAGGCTGAAATGACATCTATGGCCAACTGAGCCAGAGACTTGGATTTGTAGAAGAAGGGGCTTAGAGAGTGTCGGGCTGGACAGCAGGGCAGGGGCCCTGGGCCTGGACTCAGCCAGACCTCGGTTCAAGCAACTCCAGCCCTCTGAGCTGCGGTTTTCCCAAGAGGTGAACAGAGACCATAATGCCACATTCACAGGATTGCAAGACCTACATTAAAAGTGCTTGGGAAACAGGAGCTCACTTCACACACCTGAGAGATCAAAACTGTTCTTAGAGCCCCAGTCAAACGCAGTTTCCAGGGCACGCACCACTCACCCTGGTTTCACGGGATGCTGATTCGGAGACCTAACCTGGCTGTGTAAGGAAAGACAGCAGCTCAAAAAGGCGGTGGCTGGGACTGTGTCTGGGGCCACAGGGCCCCCCTTGGTCAGGACTCTCTGGCCTCTGACCCTTACTCTACCGCCTACTGCAGGCATGGGTGCTGGTTTCAGGGCTACAGTATGACAGAATGCTCTCTGTCCACCATGGCCCGAGCTTAGGGGACAGGGAGAGGAGGGGAGGTGCTGCTGCAGGGACAGAAAACACTGTGGCTTTTTCCAAGCCCGTCTTGGAAGGCCACCAAGTTCAGAGTCAGCCGCTGGGTTTGTGGCTCCTTCTTTGGTAAAAAGAAGTCTCCACCCTCGAATGAGCTTCCATCTGAAAGCCTAGGTTCTCCACGGGCAAAGACCCAAGAAATCAAGCCTGAGTCTCCTTCTGCCCAGCTCTGAGCAGTCCTTTCGTCACAGACGGCACCAGGCACAGCCTGTCCCAGTGTGCCCAAGGAGGAAATGAGTGCTCTGAGTGGAGGCCCTCCTTCCTTGCTCCTCTGGGCTGTGGTCAGAATGTGCCAGCCACCACCGTGCCCCCAAGGCATCAGAGGGAGCAGACAGTGGACCGTGGGGCTGCCAGGCCACCTACAACTGGGCGCCAATGGGAATAAGATCATTCAAGCGGTACAATGGCTGTCTCTGTGACAGTGTCCTGCTGGCTTAGCCTTCATCCTCCTAGCTTTCTCCTTCTACCTCTTCCACCTTCGACGTCCATACACACAGGTCCTGCAGAATTTCCCTCCATAAGAGGCATCTAAAAAATGCTGATCCCATGTCTTAACCTCTTTAGACCCTTCCCAGCATCCACCCAGAAAATGGGAGACCCATGCTGGCCTTCATTTCCCCTGCACAACTGCTTTTTCCTTGTAACAAAGAATTTGTTTAAGCCGCAAAGCACTGGGGGTTCTGGGCCCCTCCCTGGAAAGCATGGTTACTATATATATTCTGTGTAAACTACATCAAAGCTCGTGCCGAATCTGCCGCCAGTTGACGTTAGATTCTAACGTGTATACAGACATGCAGTAACAGGTACACAAAGTTGAAGAGAGCATTACGAGAGGAAAAAAATTTTTCAAGTAAGACATTTCGAGCCACCAATGTCCTTTGTCCAAAGAATCAGAGAAAGGTCTTGCTATTCTAGACCTGCTAAGGATGGGATTGCCGGATTTAACAAATTAAAATAATTGCACTGTTTGGGACATACTTATACTAAAAAATTATTCATTGTCTGTCTACCATTCCGATTTAACTGCGTGTCCTGCATTTTACCCGTAATCCTCCATAACGAAGCATCACCGCTTGAGAGCCTTGGGCGAACAAGTCACAGCTGTTCCTGCCCTCCTCCCTCTGGGGCCTGTCACCACGACTGGCCCCTTGGGAAGCCCCAGTCAGGCTTCCCTTGGAAATCGTGGCTTTCTGTCCTTTATACGCTGTTCTCTGTGGCTGCCATTTTTGCCCTCACAGGCCCAGCAAGCAGGACTCAGAAGTACAGCGCTAAGTTGTCCCTTCTCTTGTCCTGGCCACCTTAGTGACATTCCACCCTGATGGCAGCTGCCTTCAGCAGGGTGACTCAGGCCTTCCTAGGCAAGCTTTGGCAAGTTCCTCTTGGCTCCATTTCCCACCCACAGTCTCTGCCCCGCACTTCTGCCTACCCCTGCTGTCACCAGGCTTCACCAGCCTCAGGACAGTCTGGACACACACCAAGTGACCAAGGAGGTCTCTCCCCAGTCCCCAGCTGCCCCTCTACAGGGCCCAGAGCCCGAGCTTAGGGGCCCTGGAGGAGCCGATGAGTTGGCCATGGCCCTGAGCAGTGGCTCCTGCCAAGGCTCCCAGGCTCTGCAACGCTCCCGTGCACCCGAACAGGCTGC